GATTCTTAATATCACCAACCATTAGAAAATTGCAACTTAAAACACCCATGAAATACCACTACATACCTGTTAGAATGACCATGTGCAAGGGTAGGAAGTATGTGGGAACTCTGTACTTTCCAATCAATTTTGCTACGAACCTAAAACTGCTTTAAAAAATAAAGTTCATTGTTCTTGCATCTCAGCCACCAATATGCCATCCAGACTGAGGAAGACCAGGACCTTTGGGGTGACGTGAGCCACAGTCACGGCCGCACAAAGGAAGCACTCGGGAGGCCAAGGTAATGCCGGTTGGCATCACCACAGGATCAATTTCAACAAATATCACCCAGGTTACTTTGGGAAAGTTGGTGTGAGGCGTTACCATTTCAACAGGAACCAGAGCTTCTGCCCAACTGTCAACCTTGATAAACGGTGGACCTTGGACAGTGAGCAGACATGGGTAAATGCTGCCAAAAACAGGGCTGCAGCGGCTCCCATCACTGATATGGTGTGACCAGGCTCCCACCACATCCTGGGGTTGGGAAGGCTCCCCAGGCAGCCTGGCACCGTGAAGGTCAAATTCTTCAGCAGAAGAGCCAAGGGAGAAGGCTAAAGGTGCCGGTGGGAGCCTGCGCCCCGGGAGCTTGAAGCCACACGGAGGGAAGTTCTTTAAATGCTCACAAGGGCGTTCACAAAACAAATAAATAAATAATTAAAGCCTATTTAAAAAGCCAGTCAAGGTACCTCGCCAGATTGACAGAATACAAGAGCAAAAACATGAGTGTTTCAAGAGATGCAGAAAAAGCATGTAACAAAAAAGATGCAAAAATTAGCACCTGGTAATAATTAATTTTTTTTAATTCTCAGCAAAGTAGTGACAGAAGACAATTTCTTCAATCAGTATCATACTTAATAGTGAAACACTAAATCCTTTCTTCTGAAGTTCAAGAACAAGGTAAGGATGTCTACCCTTATGACACCTATTCAACACTGTATTAGAGGTCTAAACTAGTGCAGTAAGAAATAAAAGGCATGAAGTCTGAAAAGTGAAGAGGAAACTAAACTGTCCCTATTCTCAAACAGTATGTTTACTTAGAAAAACAAAGTAGCACCTTAAACAACAAAAAACTACTTATAAAATAATAACTTTAGGACATAGTCAAATAAAAAAATCAGTGCTGTATCTACATATTAGCAGCATATGATATAAATATAAAATTGTTTTAAATATCATTTATCATAGCATAAAACATAAAATACGTAGAAATAAATGTAACAAAATGTGACAAGACATTACACTAAAATAACAAAACAATCTTAAGAAAAATTAAAACAGACCTTAAAAAACAAAGACAAATATTATGGACTAACAAGTAGGTTTGCCGTTATTAAGGTGGCAAACCTCCCAAAACTGACTGATAAATTTAATGCAAATTCAATTTCAATACCAACAGGCTTTTATAGAAACTGACACACTAATTCTAAAATTTGTATAATAATGCAAAAGTCCTAGAATAGCTAAAACAAACTACAAAGGAGAACTTACACTCCCACTTCATTGCATACTTTCAACTTTATAGTATGAAGTTATAGGAATCAAGATAATGTGGTATTGGCATTAGGATAGACAAAGGGAACAATGAAACAGAACAGAAAGAGCAGAAATAGATCAACACTTACATAGCCAACTGATGGGTTTTTTTTGACAAAGACACTGAAGTAATTTAGTAGAGGGAAAATAGCATTTTCCACAAATGCTGCTGAAACAACGGATATCCAAATTATAAAAAAGAACCTCAAATCCCTATCTCACATAATAAATGAATTAATTTGCAGTGGATCACCAACCTAAACATAAGAGCCAAAACTATAAAGCTTTAAAAACATAGGTGAGCCCTGACCAGTGTGGTTCAGTTGGTTGGGCATCTTACTGGAAAAGTTAAAGGTCACCAGTTCGATTCCTGGTCAGGTACATGCCTGGGTTGCAAGTTCAATCCTCAGTTGGGGCATGTACAAAGGCAATCAACCAATGTTTCTCTCTCACATTGATGTTTCTCTTATTCTCTTTCACCCGCTACCCTTCTTTCTAAAAATAAATAAATAAAATCTTTTATAAAAATAAAAATAAATAGATGAATATCTCTGTGACCTGAATATAAACAATGATTTCCTGAGGGGGGAGGGGATAATAAACATAACAGAAAAATATTTCATAAAATTATACCAACAAAATTGAAAACTTCTGCTTGTCAAGACATTTTCAAGAAAATTAGCCCTGGCTGGTGTGGCTCAGTGAATTGAGCACTGGCCTGCAAACCAAAGGGTTGCCAGTTTGATTCCCAGGCAGCGCACATGTTTGGTTTGCAGGCCAGGTCGCCAGCATGGGGTGTGCAAGAGGCAACCACACATTGATGTTTCTCTCCCCCTTTCTCCTTCCCTTCCCCTCTGTCTAAAATAACTTTTAAATTAAAAAAAAGAAGAAAATTAATAGGTAAGCCACATAGATTATGAGAAAATATAGACAAAATATATCTGACAAAGGATATTTGTCGATATAAAATATTCATACAACTCAATAAAAATATACCCCAATCTTTAAAAATGAGCAAAATATTTGAACATATACTTCACAAAGGAAGATATAAGAATGGTGAATCATTATGTTGACATATAATATAAATTCAAAAAACAAAGCAATTTAAGACTGAGATTCTATCACACACCCACTAGAAGGGCTAAAATTACAACAAAAACCGTTAGTAATATGGAACTAGTAGAAATGTAAAACAGCACAACCACATTGGAGAAGGTCTGCCAGTTTCCTTTAAACTTAAACATGACCTACCATTTAACACAGCAATTCCATTCCTAGGTATTTATCCAAGGAAAATGAAAACATATTTCCATAAAAATGCTTATAAGTATATTCATACCAGCTTTATTCCTAACAGCCAAAAAAACAAAAACAACCCAAATATTCATCAACAGAATGGATAAATTGTTATATATTAATAAGAGTATAGTATTCAGCAATAAAAAGGAAGTATTAATACATTATTATAAGGATGAAACACACACACACATTGTTCTGAGTGAAAAAAGCCAGACACAAAAGAGTACATCGTAGAATTCCATTTACAGTGTCTACTTGATGGAAATTATGCGGCACTGACAGCGAAGGAAACTTCCTAGAGTGACGTAAATGTTCTGCATCTTGATAAAGGTGAATCCATTTCTCAAAGCTCACTCAATTGTACATAGACAATTAGTGTATTTCAACACATATAAAACTTACCTCAAAAGATGTAAACAAGTAACCAAAAAGAAATTGTGCTCCTAGTGTAGATAGCTTCACTAGTGGAATCTCCCATGCATTTAGAGAAAGAAATACCAATCTAACTCAAATTCTTACAGAAAATTAAGAAAACAGAAACACTTCCCAAATTGTTGTATAAGCTAAGCATATCAGTCACAAATATAAAGAAATTATAAGTCAATTAAAAGCCAATCTTACTCATGCACATAAACAAAACAATCATAGCAAAATAACATATCAAACCCAATTATATATTTAAAGGATGTATCACGAACATTTAGGCTTGTGTAACAAGGCAATATTGGTATACTTAAAAATTAGTATAATTATCCCATTAACCAAATATAGACATTAAATTATATCATCAAAATAGATTTAGAAAAAGCTTTTGATAAAGTTACCTCCTATGCATGATAAAGGCTTGCAACAGAATAAAAGGAAAACTTTCATAACTTAAAGAAGAGTAACACTAACTATATTCTACTTAACAGTAAACATACCATGAAATCACAGAAAGCTGAAACTAAAAGTATGGAATAAGGTGTTTAATGTAAATACTAATACAAAAAAAGCTAGAATCATTCTATTAACATCAGATTAAGAAAAATTTCACTAAAAAAAGTATTTAGAGATAACAAGGATCATTCCATTATGATAAAGGAGTTAATCACCAGGAAGATAAAATAACTCTGTACTTGTCATCAGTGAAAACCGAAAAATAAAAAAATAAAAAAATAAATCCTTTCTCAGGAAATGACAGATGAAGCAGAGAAAACAAAAGGTAAGAATGCAGAAGACTTAAACAAGATTAATGAACCAGACCTAACTGATATTTATAGAACACTGCACAGCAAATTTCAAAGGACTGAAATCACACAGTTTATGTTCTCTGACTGCTCTGGAATTATAACTCAGGAACAGACACAAGTAGAAAACCCTCCAAATATTGAGAAATTGAGCAATAAACTTCTATAGATAAAAATAATAATAATTCAAATTTAAAATCACTTTGTATTTTGAACAAAACAAAAAATGACATTTCAATTATTTCTGCTGTTCTAATTAAAATAACAAAGGACAGTGCACACCTAGGAATAAATCTGCCGAAAGGTGCAGAAGTCCTCACTACTAAATGAAAACTGTAAGACATCAATGAGATAAATTTATGAAGCCCTAAATAAATGCAGGGATATACCATATCCGTAAATTGGCTGACTCAATATTGCTAAGATGTTGATTATTTACAAAATGATTTGGTGCAATCCTAATTAAAGTTCCAACAGATATTGTGGGTATGTGAGTATGGGTTTTTAAGAGTAAGTAGAAACTAAAATACTGATTCTAAAACTATATGAAAACATAAGAGGGAAGAAGTTGGAGTACATATCCTACCAGATAACAATACTTAAAGTAGAATAATTTAAGACAGTGTCATACTGGCACAAGGAGAAACAAATAGACCAGCAAAACAGAAGAGGGTCCAGGAACAAATTCAAAGTTACAATGACACAGGAAGAACAGAAATATCTTGAGGGGAAAATTCCATGTAGCAGTATTTCATTCAAAATTTTAACATATTTTCTGATCAATCATAACAATTACATCAGAAAGTAAATAATATCCCAGTTAAATTTTTTTCAGACTGTAGCAAATAGCTTCCAAAACAATTTAGCAGACCTTCTATTAATTCTTTGTCTCTTACCTCTCCAAAAGCTCCTCGGCCAATCACCTTTAATATTTCAAAGTCTTCTCTATGTAACCGCATCTGTTTCACTTTAGAAGTAAATGGTTTAGCTGAAACAAAAAGCAACACCAATTACTTAATGAAGTATGATGCAAACCAACATAAATAATGGTATTTCTTAAACAATAAAAATTCAAGTTATGATTAAGAATAAAGCCAAACTATATGATAATTTAATGAAACTATATTGAGAATAAATTTAATGACCATAAGAAGACAATATATTCCCTTCATTTCTTATATATGAATTACATTTTGGTGAAGAAAATATCTTCAAACACCAAATAACATATGAAATAATGCAAAATAACAAATGAGACCAATTTACTCTCATGTTCAACATTCTGTGTTATTCTAACTCTCAACGCTAGATATGTATTTTAATGCAGAAGTCCAAGAAGTAAAAGCAAATCTCATGGCACCAGAGAGAGCTTCCGCAATTCCTACCAAATAAAGTAGTAATTCTTTCACACTCACTCATTCATCTACCCTTGTAAGATGCCGTGAGCAGGAGTCCACATGCTGCAAAGCACGGTGGCAGTCACTGGAGAGACAAGGCAGGCATTTCATAGAGAGGACACCACCAATGGCCCATATACATATCAGAAGACACCCAACCTTTCTAGTCATCACAGAAATGCACCTAAAGCCACAATGACACACAACTCCACACCCGTCTAACTGGCTAAAGTTGTCAGGTCAATAATACCAAGTGTTGACAAGAATATCTCGTCAACTGCTACTGAGAATGTAAATTAATACAACCACTTTATTAAAGTTTGCCATTTACCCATTTCACTTGAATGTGTGCATATCCTACATCCCAGAGATTCCAATCTTAGATATATAGCAGTATCTAGAGAAATTCTTATATATGGGAACTGGAAGACATGTGTTATTCAATATTATCCATAATCATGAAAACCTGGAAATAAATCTCCATTTAATGAAGATGAATAAATAAACTCTGGTTCAGTCATACCATCAACATGGATAAATCTAAAAAAAATACTTGGAAAAGAAGTCACATGAAATGTACACTATGATTTCATTCATGTAAAGCTTAAAACAAGCAAAAATAAACAACAGTTTATAGGAATATTTACAAAGATGATAAAACTATAAAGAAAAGCATACGAATTTCATGGTTGTGATGTATTCTTGAGAAAAAGGAGACACAGACACACAGGAGTTTCTAAGATTCTGTTAATTTCTTACACTGGATCAAATGGTACAGAAATGTTCATTTTATCATCCTTTGAACCGTACAGAAAAGGTGTTTTTTTTTAAAGATTTTATTTATTTATTTTTACAGAGAAGGGAAGGGGAGGAGAAAGGGAGAGAAACATCAATGTGCGCGCGCCCCCTACTGGGGACCTGGCCCAAAACCCAGGCATGTGCCCTGACTGGGAATTGACTGGTGACCCTTTGGTTCCCAGGCTGGCGTTCAATCCGCTGAGCCGCTCCACCCAGGGCTGTACAGAAAAGCTTCATGCACTTTTTATATACATAAATTCACAATAAAAAAAAATTTAATGAAAAATTTAAAACCCGTTTAACATGAATGAATCTATATTCATTTTAATAAAAATGATTAGCTCAAAATTTTATTTGGCCAAAATCTTTTCACAACTTAATATTCTTTCAAATCTGAGAAACTATGGATGTTCTTAACTAAACCTGAGAATATAACTTGAATTTCAGTGATCAAGTTAGATGAAAATAATTGGTCAGGAAAAAAATGAATTGTGAACAAATTCATTCTTATATACTAAAATATAAGAGAAACCATTATTAGTATTATTATTCACCAAAAAAAGAGTTCTTTGAAGACATGTTCCTGAGAAGAGTAAGTGAATGGTTATTTTTATTATTCTTAATGATTATAGGTCCTTCAACCTACTACACCACATGAGCAACTTGATCCCAAGAAAAATTGCAATCTTACTGATAATTTAGTTCAAAACCGTTTTCTAGAAACATATTTTTAAGAAGCACTGCTCAAGCGTTTCTCGCCATTCTACTAGTCTACTTGCTATATCGGGACATACCTGTGGGTGGCCGCTCACTCTTCCGATAGCAACTAATCTAATCTGACATCACTATCAACTCACAGGATCCACCTCTAAGAAAGAATCTAAAACAGGCCAAAGGGTGTAACTGAAGCAGATCTCATTAAGTGCCTCTATCAACTTAACTCAATCTTTGCCTCCCTTATCTATCTTCAAAACAACCACAAAATGCATCTGATTCCTTGGATTAGTTACTCATTATCTGCCCAGAGGTTACTGAGATATTGAAATGAGCAGGCAAAGGTCTTAAAACAACTATTACAGATATGCTCAGGGTTCCCAACGAATGAATAAAAAGGAAATCTCAGCACAGAAAGAGAATCACTCAATCATCTATTTTTATCTTTTAAAGAACCAAATGGAAATTCTAGAATTGGATGTGCTTCAGAGCAAAATGAAAAGGAGAAAAAAAAAGATAAGAGCTTATGAACTTGAAAATATATCTATAAACAATTCAAAGAAAAAAAACCTTAGGAATGGACAGTGTCAGGCACCTATGAGACAACATCAAAGAGTCATTAGAATCCCAAAAGGAAAGGACAGAGAAAATGGGGCAATGGGGCAGAACATCTTTCAAGAAATAAGGACTAAAAAAATCCAAATTTGGTAAACAACAAAGTTACAGATTCAAGAAAATCATTCAGTCTCAAGAAGGAAAAAACTAAGAAGATCTCACCTACGTACATTTTTTTCTAAGCCAAAAAAAAAAAAAAAAAGATTTACTTTAAGTCTTTTATATCCTTCCATGATAATATACTTCTGTCACAATCCATTGTTAAATAATAAATATTGATTTTGGGGACCTGATTGCCAACACAATCAGGTAGTCAACTGGTCCTGCTTCTTCAGAAATATATTTAAAATATTACCAACCATTCTACTAAACTGCTGTAAGCAAATACTAACTTCAAAAGGTAACTTGGGAAAATAGTATCAAATAAGTCTGTTAAAATAAATATTTAAAAATCTATCTTATACCCCTAACAAATAAAATAATTCCTTTCTGTGAAAGTGAATTCGTCTACTTCATGTTTTTATAATTACTAAGTCTATCCTATTTGTTTTACTAGGGCAAAACTCCTCATGCATGAATTTTAGGGGAAAAACAATAAAGAAAGGGGGAAGCTATAACATCACTGGAATGTTTAAAGGAAGAACAGGGGTACACAACTGTACAATTTTTTAAAAAAGCCTTAAGTACTTCATCCCTAAACCAAATAGTACGGTATAAATCTTACTTTGTCCTGACAAATGTAACTTCCACTTTTTCCACTTAGAGAAGCTATGTCCAACACTGGGATTCCAGGCTGACTTTGTGAGTTCTGTCCTGTCTGGTCTAAGTAAGCCCAATAATATCTCCGGATCTAGCTTTCCATGTATCTCTTTCTCTCTTTCACTTGCTTCTGTTTTCCTGGCCATGAGATAAAAATCAGGTGAGCCTGTGGCAAATATTTTTATCAATTAATATGAAATTTTAGGATATTTTTGTGGGCAAGTCCCGGAGAAAATCAATCATAAGGAATCATGTATTTCCAATAAATTATCAAATAATGACACAAGTAACCTAAAGGTGGGCCAACAGTTTAAAAGTATAAATTTACTTGAAAAATATTTCAATTTCCCAAACTCAAGGCCATCTTACTATGATATCTAATTTTTCCAGAGTCATTTTCGTTGGTAATGCAGCAAATGAGTAAAACAATTCCACATAAAATTCTCTACTTTTACACAATAGTTTTAGACTTTCTATTTCTGTTAAAAAAAACAACAGAAAAACTCTTTAAATACTTCAACACTCAAACCATTCTAATATAAATTAGAATGAAGAGGTGAGGGGATTACGAAGCACAAACAGGTAGTCGTTACAGAAGAGCCATGGGGATGTAAAGCACAGTACAGGAAATGGAGCAGCCAAAGAACGGAGACACATGACCCATGGACAGGAGCAACGGTGTGGGGATTGCTGGGGGGGGTACTGGGGGGAGGGGGCAAGGGGATAAAAATTGGGACAACGATAATAACATGATCAATAAAATAGAATTTTAAAAAGAAAAATCCATTAAAATTACTCTGAAATGACATTCCTCACCTATAATAACTACAAAATTCAACCGCTTTATATTACGCTTCCCTGCTGAGGCTGTGGACACAGTCTGATAGTGCTGGTCACAATGCAAAAAGGCGACAGTTCTACAGACAGGAGCTTGGCCATCTCTGACAAAACTACATAGGCATCGTCACTTTGATTCGGCTATTTCACTCTTAGGAATTTACATTGAAGATAAACTTCCAACAGTATAAAATACAATGCGTTTTTATTTATAACAGCAAATTATTAAAAAACAATCTAAATGCCAAAACATGCAGAAATGTCCTTCAATAAATTATGACACAAACACATAATGGAATACCATGTAACCACTGCTTTTAAAAGGACAGAAAAGAATAAGATCCCTATAAACTGAATGATAATGGAATGATTCCCAAAACATATTAAGGAAAAAAGTAAAAAGTAATATATAAAGTATACTACACACTTAAAAAATATGTATGAACATATTTTTACATATCTCCTTACTTTTAGGGAGATAAGAAGTAATGGAGACATTTAACTGAGTATACTGTTTTTGGTATAATTTTGACCTTCAAATGAATGATACAATCACAAATAGAATTTAAAAAAAAAACCAACAAAACTAAGTAACCTCTGAAGGAAGTACCTTGAACATATGTCCTCAGCCTAACAACAAAAAGAATACAAAGAAACTTGAACTCTACTTAGATGTGCTGTTTGAAATGTTAAGTAGCAATTCTGAAACTATTTTGCATTTTGAGTGTATTGTAGTTAATTAAACAAATGAATAGCTGTTGTTGGGAGCCTGGGTTCCCAATGTAAAATGATACAAATAGGAGGGAAAGAGTCCTCTGGTGTTAAGTTAGAACAGGTACACAGTATCAATATAAACTAATGGTCACTC